ATATATATATATATATATATATATATATAGCAATTGCTACAAAGACTCATTTCTCTGGTCAAATATTAATAAGGTATAGATAAAAACAAAAAAATAAAAAACAGACAAGGCCTCTAGCTCTTGATAGGAAGGTAAGCTGCAGTGAGACATCATGAAGACAGGGACAAGGCAGAACAATCACCCTAAAACAGTATGACTTCATTCCTATCCACATTTAACCCAATAATGTGGGGAGGTTTCAATACTCATAAATGTACTGTTTTTGCATAAGACTTTAAAAAATCCTATCTCAATAATTCTTAAAATGGCTCAAAAACTCAAAGAAACAAATGGACATTTAAATGATGCAAAGAACAAAACAAAAATCTAATTTCATTCTATGTTCCTGCTGTATGTCCAGTATATTTAAAACACAGTAAAATTAAAACATTTTAATTTTTAAAAACTCTTATTGAATCTATTCACTTACACTTAAGGAAGAGATTCCTGTAGATAAGGACTTAAAAAGAAAATCAATGTCCATCCCAAATGAATAGGGCAATTAACTCCTCTAAATACAAACTTTCTATTTTTCTCATTCATAAAGTAGACAAAGCCATCATTGTTCTCTAGTTTTATTATTTTTCAATCTTCCCAACACATGAACTAGAACTCATTTTGAGATTTTTCAGTGCATTTCACAGCAAAAATGAACAAGGGGATCAATAAAATGGTTATACATAAACCAATTATTTTCTTATAATTTACAAGTTGTTGAAAAAGTATTGTTTTGCTGTTTTCATCCTACTTATCCCTTCAATAAAACACAATTTATCAGAGCACAAAGCTTAAACTTCTTATGATGCAACAGATACAGCCACCTACAATGGCTGATGAATAACAGGTATATGTTACACACATTGATTGGAAGACCATATCAGAAGAAACAGTAAGGCACCACTCTTGGAAAATTAAGGTAGCTTGCAGTAACAAGTGTTGAGCACCATAAGTAGGTGCTCAATAAATACTTGAATGATGAAAGCCATAATAACACTATTCTTTTAAATGCCAGCAATTCTTCAACTTCAATAAAATACTTATTTTAAAAAAAAGATTTGTACCTGAATACAACTTCCCAATATCTTTTTATTTCATACTCTTTCTTCAGCATTTCAGTTTCCTTGAAAAGAAAATAAAACCATAAGGTACGTGCACTCATATATATTTAACTTTTGAATTACTGACAAATACGAATAGTTGTTTTACATTTTGAGTGAACAGAGGTAAGATAAAATATAACTTACCCAAGGGATAGCACATAATACTGGATATTAACCTACAAATGAAAAAAAAGAGTAAGGGAAAAAGTAACAGTTTTATTTTTTAATACTTGCTTATGTTTTTTAATGCCTCAGTTCTTGAGAAAGGCCAAAATCTCATCATATTGACATGAACATATTTTTAAAAATTGTCTCTCAAGTGTAATATTTAATAAAACTGCTGAAAAATGTTCTGAAATTTTTCAAGTCAATGTTTTCAAGTATATTAAAATGATCAGAAGAAAAAATTCTTCTTATTTATAATTCTAATCAATTTATAAATATACTTTTTAAAAGACAGTTCCAACAGAGGTGGATAATGGTAAGTTCCTCAGACACAGGCACAGTCTCTCTGAAGAACAGAATGACTTGTTACTACAATCTGATTTTTTTAGCACTGATTTCAGGCACAATGGCTGAATCCACTTCTGGGTCATCTTCCTCCTCCTCTTGGTTTGCTTTTAAGAGTAGCGAATACTTCAGTTACTGAAAGAAAGCAGAGCACAGACCCGGGAAGAGACTTCACTTCTCACTATAAAGAAATCAAAACACTGAGTTCTCACTAATGTGTTTCTCTGCTGCCCCCACGAGAAAATAGGGGATTCAAACTCAGCTTTAGGAGCAGGAACTGAATGAAAGATTAATCACCTAAGAATTCAGGTGAAAAGTTCTATAATATTGCTCACATCACAGGAACATGTTGGTGAGAGGGCCATCGTGCTTCTCCAACACTTTGGTCTTGCCGCAGTCCTGCAGTGCGCTACCAGGTACATCATGCTGAGCTAGTCTCAGTCTGTGCAATCAGGAAGCAGGTCACTCAGTGCAATGATTCCATTCTGGGAGGATTTAGGGTAAACAGAAAAGAATTTCATTTGGTCAAGTCTCAGATAGTGTGTGTCACTCTGCTGGTTGTGTTGTTGGAATTATTTTCCAAAGGGGTTTGTGATAAACCCAGCCATCTCCCTCTTTAATAAAATATTTCGTTTTCCAGGGTGTGTCTGTTTCAGTACGATGCCTTTCTTCAGTCCTCTGACATTCCTCCAGGGTATGTTTATGCTCTGTAGCCTTATCAATTTCAGATTCCCTCAGAGAATATGTCACGTCTTTCCATAATCGCCTGGATTCAAATGGATCTTGCTTCTCCAGAGGTCTTACTCTTTTCTTCGTCACTGCAAACTTAGTCAAGTCCACACACTTGGTGTCTCCACTGTTATAAGTGAACTCAAAAACACTATTCCATTCCCCTTGCACTCTGCATACCACAGTGTTGATGAGATTATGTTTTACTTCACCTGTGACCCTGTGCAGTTTGCCACCATAAAATGGCTTAGTATGAAAAGTGATGCTGGCTGAATACCCAGTTTTTGCACAGTTGACACTGACTTTGCCACCCAATTCCACCCAAGGAACAGTTAAAATTGACCGGGCATATGCACAGGGTAGGGAAAAGGTATACTCTTCTCCATGTTCCAACCGACTGAGGACACCTTCTCCAATCATTGTCACACCTATTGACATGCCTAAGAATTTGCTCTTAGCCCAGACATGTGCATTCACACATATTTTCCTCTCAGCACATTCTGCATAAAATTCTGAGACTGGAGGATGATGGGAAACCTGCTCAGCAACAAATCTGACTGCGTAACAGTCTGATCCCACCTGGCTCAAAGCCTCCTCTGATAGAGAAGCATGATTTGTGACTGCCTGGGTAGAAGAGCTGCTCGTAACACTGGAGGCTACCTCACTTTTCGGCATCCTCCAAGAACAGTGAAATGTTTCTCCAATAATAGGATTGTACGGTTTCTTAGCAATGGCTCCCTTTCGGCCTTCATGAAATGAGGTAAGGTAGTACTCAACAAAATGAATCATTCTGTCCTCAGCCATGGCTCCATTGGTGATGGCTATAAACAGGTCTGGATGAGACATTAAGTCTGCATACATTTCCAGCAAGCAACGCTTCTCTAGGATAAATGTAGGAAGCACCACTCTTGTTAAGTCCATGCCCAGCTTAAGCTGTGACAAGAGATGCAGGATTACACTGCGTTGCTCTTCCACGGCTCCCAGGTCACCCTCCTTATTGTCACATGCATCCTCTACCTCATCATCTGCATTTACTTCTTCAGGTTCCCTTGCTAATAGCCCAGATTCTGGAACACACTGCTCTTCTGAGACTGCCACTGGCTTACTCTGCTCAGTTGCAAAGGCCTGGTCAGCTCCATTTTTATAGTGGTTTGGTAAAGGTATCTTTGGTTCTAACCACTCGATTGTCGTTCCTGAAGTCAATGAGCCCTTCTGATGTGATGCATGCTGCAACTGGAGAATATGAAAGCAGTCGTTTAAGCAGTTCATAGTTGCCATGGAAGTAGCTTTGAGCATTAAGAGATCCTGGTCCAAGAAACTAAGATGACCAGAAGCAGGAAGGCATTCAATTCGTCTAATTAAGTCTCTTTGTTGTCCTTCAGCATGAGACATCATTTCTCTGACTTCCACAAGATGGTCTGGAGGTAAGTGAGCTCTTTTGCTCACTGATTGTAGTTTGGAATGGCCAACATTAAAAAAAGAAATGGCATTTTGACTTGGTCTCCTCTGGGATATAGGAGAATTGCCACTAGATGCAAGCGAGAAGCTCCGTGATTTCAGAGGAGGATTATTCTTACCAATAGCTTCAGTGTGATGTTGTATACATATCTAAAGTCTGCTAACCCAATGTTGTCGCTCTTTAGCATCTGTGGCTCTGAGTTTATACTGTTCCCCACTGGCAGCATTTACAGTGAAGGTATGAGAGTCCTCATCACTGGGTGATATCACAGCTCCTGCAAGCTGCAAAGTACCTCTGGGTTTTTGATTTCTAGACTGTTCGTTCACAAAGTACTCCAATAACCCAGCTTCATTGTTTAAAACAAAAAACCTGTACTGCCACCCAGTGACAAGGTTGGTATACTTCATTAGGTAGCCATAAACATTTTCCATGTGATCACTGGAGCCATCTTTGGGCAGGGCACGCGGCCCTGAAGGAGCCCCCACTGACTTTTTTTAACCTACACTTTTTAGTTTTCCTGAAATACATTTTGTCTTATTAGTGTTTAGCACTTTTTCTGGCCCACTTGTTTTTGATGGCTTCACTAAGAAGAATGACCATTCATTGATTCAGACCTCCTTCAGAATATTCTACCTCAGGACCTTTACGTCAGGCTAAATTAGGACATTCTGAACTGATCCAATACTAAATGCCTTAAACTGCTTTGCAATCAGTTTCTAGGAATGGAGTGGGGATGTAGAGAAGAGAAGAGATGGAGGGTAAGAGATAAGAATAAAACTTTGGAAGAAGAGTACATTTTTTTAAACATTAGAATCAAGATATTCATTATAAATATGAAAAACACAGCTGTGACTGGCATAGGGAGTGATTCAGCCTTCCATCCTGGCAGTCTTTTCACCTTGGCAGCATGAATTGGACCTGAAAGACTTCTACTGCTTTGGGTTCTGATATTCATTTAGTCTTACCAGCAAGAAAAATCACCCCGGAGCAATGAGCATGCTGCTTTTGTTAATTCTCTCAAATATGTCCCTTGTTTAAATCACTGCTGATTAAACATTCTGGACATCTTTCCTTTCTAAATGTGCCAGGACTCATCAGTGATCACAGCGGAAGGCAAAAGCTAAATCTGTTTCCTTAAAATGTTTTCTGCAAGTGAGCACTGGAAAAAACAATAGCAGCTAAGATGATGAGGGGCTGTAGTGGGCTGTGTGTCTTTTACCTGCTGATAGCTTCAAGAAATGGAATATTATCTGGAAGGAAACACCACCAGGAGCTGAGTCAGTCCAGATACTTGAACTACTGTAAGCCTGGATTTCTGCTGCCAAAGCGAGAATTTCCCCAGTGGAGCTGATTGCTCTGCTGCTGCTGAAGGTCACTTAGAGGTAGTAATTTTGGCTCTGATAGTGGATTTTCTCTCTGCCTTATCAGAAATGGTGTTCAAATTCACTCTAATATTTGATTTTTTTATTTCCTTAACAGTCTGAATATTAAGATAGTGAAATTAGTTGCCACAAAGAAACCAGGCATGTGTAGGATGTTAACTGAAAGTTCATTTATACTATGCTACTTTTAGCATAACAAAAGTTAGACTCTTTGTTCCATCTATGACATTATCAGGAAGAGGATGACTACCACAGCAAATTACTTACTTCCACCTGCCTAACAATCCAACAGGCTCTGTCAGTTGTTTTAAGGGAGAAAATCCTCATATTCCATGTAATACAATAGAAAGAGTGCTGTTATGGAAGTTAGAACATGTTTTCTGTTCTTGGCTCTGCCCACAAATGTGTTACCTTGAATAAGTCACTTATACCTTCTGATCTTTAATTTCTCATCTATGGAGACATTAGACTAGAGTAAGATCTTGGGTTTTATATTTCATTCTATCACTTCCCCTGTCCTAGCTAGAATTATCTTCTTGGACTGTTCCTAGGATTTTACCTGTGTACCTCACTCAGTGCAGGCTGGGAATTAGTTTAATTATCACTTGGAAAATAATCTGAAGAAAAAACAAATCATGTATTTTTCTTCTGCGAAGAAAGATCTTATTTTAGAGATTTGGCTTTGGTGATTTCAAGGGTCATTTTTAAAGATGTATTTGAGTAGAATGATTCATTAGTCTTTCATACAGAGCAGCTCTCTTGGAGTTGGTGGGTGGGGAAGGTTAAGTGGTATGAGCCTCATTCTGAGGTCTGCCACTGACTCCTCTCTGGATTCAGGCCAGTCACTACACTTCTTTATATACAAATATCTTTATTTCTATCTGAGAGCTATTTGGTTATGTAAACTTGCCCCGAGAAATTATGGCAGATACAAATAAAAATCATTTGGGAGCAAAATGCCCATGGGACAATGTCAGAAGAATTTTAGAAGTAAGTAAAAACCTAAAATTTGCTTCCTTTCGCCTTTGTTATTGACAACGTAAGTGCCTTATGATTTGGAGAACTCTAACATCATCTGTGGGTTGTCATGGCAACAGCTGCTGCTATTAGCAGCCAACCTAGAAGGATCCAAATGTAAGGTAATAATTCAAAAGTCTTTCTTCTGGCTATGACATATGAAGTGGCCAGTGTTTTTCTCCTCTGGTCTATGTACCTTTCCCATTTCTCACTTTCTGTCGATCAAAGGCCATTTCTTGTTCTTTTCTTCTGCAGAAATACATGGTTGCATTGGCCAATGGTCCCAGATAATGCTCTTTCCTTCCTTGGCAGGTCTAGAAGGGATATGAATGCAGGGGAAATGGGGCTGAGTCACAGAAACCTTTTGATGGGGAAGAATTAGAAGACATTCTCTTGTTCTAAAATTAGGAGTAGATAATGGAGGCCTATTTCTATACTCTCATGTAACTCAGTAATAATTGTTAGAGTGACTTAGCTTAATTTACTTTTCTTGTTTTATGGCAGAGAAATACTGATTGGATTAAGTAAGTGGTTACATAAGTTTAGCATAGCATATGTTTATCTATCCACTGTATATTCTTTCTTTTTCTATTGGCTTTTTATTTATTTATTTTCTTTCCTATTTCATCCATCCCTCCACCCCCTTCACCAAGGCAACCATCAGTCTGTTCTCTGTGTCTATGAGTCTGTTTCTGTTTAGTTTGTGTGTTTGTTTTGTTTTTCAGATTCTACAGGTATGTGAAATCAATTGGTATTCATCTTTCTCTGTCTGGCTTATTTTATTTAGCATAATACTCTCTAGGTCCACCCATGTTGTCTCAGATGGCAAGATTTCATTTTTTCTTATGGCTGAATAGTAATCCATTGTATATATGTAACACTTCTTCATATACTTTTCTATCGATGGGCACTTAGGCTGCTTCCATATCTTGGCTATTGTAAATAAGGTAACAAACAGAGGTCCATATGTCTTTTCAAACTAGTGATTTTGTTTTCTTTGGGTAAACTCCCAGAATTGGAATTTCTGGGTCATAAGGTTTCCATTTCTAGTTTTTTTTTGAAACACCTCCATACTGCTTTCCACAGTGGCTTCATCAATTTACAGTCCCACCAAATGTGCATGAGGGTTCCTTTCCTCTACCTTCTCACCAAGACTTTATTTCTTGTGTTCTTGGTATTAATTCAGACTGATGTGATCTTATTGTGTTTTTGATTTGCATTTCCCTGATGATTAATGATGTTGAGCATCTTTTCATGTGTCTGTTAGCCATTTGTGCCATCTGTATGTCTTCTTTGGAAAAATGTCTGTTCAGGTCCTCTGCTAATTTTCAATTGGTTTTTTTTTTTTTGATGCTGAGTTGTATGAGTTCTTCATATACATTGGATATTAACCCCAAATTGAATGTATCATTTGCAAACATCTCCCATTCTATAGGTTGTGTTTCTGTAATGTTGATGGTTTTCTTCACTGGGTAGAAACTTTTTAGTTTGTTGTAGTCCCACTTGTTTAATTTTCCTTTTGTTTCCCTTGCCTAGGGAGACATACCCAGAAAAAATTATTAATATTGGTGTTCAAGGGTTTACTAACTATATTTTCTACTAGGAGTTTCATGGTTTGTTTTATGATTTCTATTTAGAGTTTTATGGTTTTATGGTTATATGGTCTTATATGTAGGTCTTTAACCATTTCAACTTTATTTTTGTGTATGGCATAAGACAGCAATCCAGTTTTATTCTTTTACATGTAGCTCTCCAGTTTTCCCACTACCATCTATGAAAGACATAGATGTCTTTTCCCCATTGTATATTTTTTCCTCCTTTGTCATATATTAATTGACCATATAGGCATGGACTTCTTTCTGTGCTCTCTATTCTGTTACACTGATCCATGAATCTGTTCTGATGCCAATACCTTACTGCTTTGATTACTGTAGCTTTGTAGTATAGCTTGAAGTCGGAGAGTGTAATACCCCAGCTGTGTTCTTCTTTCTCAAGATTGCTTTGGATGTTCAAGGTCTTTTGTGGTTCCATACAAATTTTAGGAGTATTTACTTTTGTTCTGTGAGAAATGCCATTGGTGTTTTGATAGGTATGCTCTGAATCTGTAGATTGCCTTGGGCAGTATGGCCATTTAAAAAATACCAATTCTTCCAATCCATGACCATGGAATATTTTTCTATTTATTTGTGGAATACCAAATCAGGATGGTAAATGGGACCAATGCTAAAATTCCTATCTTCAGCTTAAATACACACATAAATTATATTTTATAAATTGAAAAGTGCATGGCCACACTCAAAAACATGAAGGAAAAATATGCAGTCAAGAAACCATGACATTACCACATAAAGTGGCAAAACAAACAAAATCAAACAGAAACACATGGCTGTTGGCAGCTGAAGCTGTGGGCTTGGCATAATCTAATAGGAACTCCAAAAGGAGGAGCAGAGAAAATGGGTGTACATACTATGAGACATAATGCATGGGATTCCTCAAAACCAAAGAAAGACAAAAGTCCTGAGAGAAAAATTCCACCATGTCTTAAATGGGGTAAATATACTTTAAAAATTTACATCTGCACATGTTTTAGTACAATTGCAGGATTAATGAGAAAATCCTACAAACAAAAATAAAAATCAGATTAACTGTAGAATTTTCTCAGTAAAACTAGATGCCTGTGGAAATAGATTGATATCTGCAAGGTTTCTGAAGGAAAAATAACTACTATACTTCTACAGCAAGTCAAGCTATAATTTGTGAAGGTATTTTAAAACATACATGTACCTCTAAAATAAAAAACCATCATTAGAAAAAATTTGAAAGTATTTTTCAAATAGTGAGTAAATTTTTAGAATTAGAAGGAAGTAGTGATGTACAAGAATCAAAAGTGAGCAATCAGGAAACCATAACGGAAAAGGCAAATGAAGGTTGTTTTTAAAGAGAAATAAAATAATATTTTTATGCTTAGTAGCAAGTATCTAGGATTTTAGGCTATAATTATATGGGAGTTGGGGGAAAGTTGGAAGAAAAGCAGAGTG